GGCGAAGAGGAAGGCTGTGGAGAGCCAGTTGATTGCGGACTCGGAGACGCGGTAGTAGGTTGCTGCGTTGGAGGCTACGGGGGCGAAGGTGAGCCACTGTGGGTGGTTTGGTGTTAGTATCTTGGTCTCACTGTGATATTGAGGCTTTGGAGTTTTGGTGGTTAATGCAGGACAGGTAGCAGGAAGTGATCAGTCGTCAGCCTTGTTGACGATGTGCTGTACGATCGATGGTGGTTTGTCTGATGCAGGTACCCTCATACCCTTTTGCGATTCGTTTTTTATAGTTGGCCCAGAAATTGACAAAAAGTTGGAACAAGATATTTCGACTTACATCCCACGAGACAATGATGTTGAGCAACGTCAACTGCGCGAGACCGAACCAGCGGCGCTTATACGTGCGATACTCGACGGCCGTTCCCTCGAGGACGCTATTATTGTCGCCGTCGACAATACCACCACCAGCGACACCACCCGCCCCCGTGATGTCGTCGTCGCGAGACCGGGAATCCACATCGCGGAGGTTATACTCCTCGTCGCCGAGCTTGCCAAAGCCGGAGCCGGGGTGGGCGTGGTTCGGCATTGCCGTCGGGGCGGCGGCGGTGTCGACGGGGGATTCGAGAGCGGCGTCGACGGTAGCGGGGGTAGGGTTCGCGGCCGTCTTTTCGTTCTCGTTTACGCCGGTGTGAGGTGAGGTTGTAGTAGTGGTGGTGGTAATGTCGTTCGTGGTGTCGTTGGTGGGAGGAGTGGAGTTGTCGACCGAGGGGTCGTTCTCCTTCTTCTGACGGCGGGAGAAGTGCATTTTGTGTGTATGTGTGTATCGGGTCCCAGGTGTCTTTTAGTGGGCGCGAGCGCCAAACGGGCCAGAACTTTTGCGCGCTAGGGAGCCCGATCTTTGGTTGTAGGGGGGGCGTCGGGTGTCGCAAGTTTTCCTGAGACAGCGGGTGAGTGGGCGCAGCCACGGAGCGCTGGGTTCGCCCGGGGCAGGTTGTGGACGGTGGATTAGCGGGCAGGCGGGCGGGAGATTGGCCTAGGCGTGTCTTGGCAGGGAGTCCTTGACTTTCGAGTCGTTCCACCTTTTATCCTGCGGGATTGTGGACTTGTACGCAGTAAAGCCTGTGATTGTCGGTCGTCGTCTCGAGTTCCTCCTATTTCCTCCAAGGCTCTCCAACACTGCATGGAGATGGGACGGAGAACAATGCGCTGGGTTGGGGAGGAGAGAAGAGGATAACTGGATAAGCCCGCCCGTAAATCACGAAAAGTTGTGCCAAGAGCCTAAGAGGAGGGAAGGATGGGAGGGAATGAACAGGGCCGGGGAAAAGAAATAATAAGCTGAAGAAGAGAAAGCGGAAAGGTCGACTTAAGAAGAAACCTGCCTGCCCCGAACGGAATATTGGCAGAATCGACAAGACGCGGGACGTGGGAACAGGAACAGGAACAGGAACAGGGGGCCACAGATGCAGTGCAACTGATGCGGGAGATACCCAGAGAAGGTAAGGTAAGCTAAGGTATTCGATCAATCAATTCCCAAAAAACTACAGAAGATCCCTCGAGTCCAACGGCCCAACTTCCCCGGTCTGGACTGGTGTGTACCCTGTGCCTTTTTGCTCGTGCCGTGGGCCGTGTATGTTGGTCCAGAACGATTCTTCACTTTCCTGATCCTCTCAAGTTTGCATTACACTGGGGGGACATGGCGCCCAAACTCTCCACCTCGCGTGCTTCCCATGAAGCATTGGCGTACGACTATTCATTATCCCACTTGAACAAGATTCCCGTATGGAATGGGGTAGGCACACCAAGCGTCGCGAACTGAGTAAAAGACAGAAAGAAGCAGAAAGAGGGGAACGAAGCTACCTGAGCTAAGCTCAAATCCAAATGAACCACTCACTGTACCTAGAAAGCTTGACTGCAGCATCGTAGCATTCGACAATGGGCTCACATGCCCACCCACCTAGCCGAGGACCAAGAGATATGCATGTAGTACCTAATGTGCTTTGTACCTAACAACCCATCATCTCAGATATCCCAGAATGCAACCAACAGAATCGGGGTTGCTCTCAAACTTCCTCGAATCCGTACTGGTACGGCGCAGCAACCGACGGGCGACCCTTCCCCGTCCCCCTCGGCCCTCCCCCATTGGCCCGCCTCCCCGGCCGAATGCCTCTCTTTGGGCCACCTCCTCCGGGTCCCATCCTCCGCTCCACAGGGTAACATGTACTCGGAAGGGGGGCCTATCCCGAACCTACATGTCTGAGCAAAAAGTGTCTCTGGAGTCGAAAAAGGATGGCCATTGTCAATTCAAGATACATCCTACCTGAGCAATGCCAAAAAAACCCTCTTTCTCAAAGTAGACGAACAAGAGTCAGATAGACTTGAGAGAACATGGCTACGGTAGCATGTGTACACATCTCTCGACTACCCAATCGTCTCATCTACTTCGCCGCACACGAGCAGATTTACTGCGTTCCCAGTGTTCCCATGCCCGTCCTCCGTCGTCGCGCCATAAACTCGCCTCGCCTCGCCTGACATCTCGCCTAGTAAGGTATGCTGCTCTATCCGAGATGAGCTGATCAACTTTACCTTCTTCCGTCAAGTTTGTCATAAACACGTAGCAAAAATCATCTAATATCCATCCCCGAAACCCCTACTTCTTTCTCTCTCTCTACTAGATTTCTGAGCTGCAGTCCAAAACTTGTACACGTTTCTTTAACAGAACTGTGCCATGGCTACTGCTTGACGGCTCCCGATTCGGTCTCGAGGATGGAGACCTCTCTCAGTCCAAGAGGCCCAACTATCGTTCGTCAAGATCGAAAATAGCGCCATTGACAACCAGCCGCGTTAGTTCAACACTCATCATGATTCCGATCCGCATGCAGGTAAAAGTCATGGAGGAATCTATTGCGCGATATGCCTATGGTACAAAAGACAAGATCTTTCGGCGCCGCAAGCCGGACAGCGCCCACTACTGAGCAACCCGGCTTGACGAGCACCACTGGGGTGAGGGGTGGAGGTACAAGGGGTAGGTTGGAGGTCCCAAAGGAAACTCTAGGGCCGGTTTGCTAGACAGTTTCATTCTCGTCTTCATCTCGTCTCGGCAACGACATTTCTCTCTCTCTCTCTCTCGCGCGCGCGCGAAGCCCACTCTCGTAGAAATAGAACACCAGTCGTCCAATGCCGCTAATGCGAACAATGGGCTCGGTCTCGAAGAAAGAAGATGAACCGCCGATGCCGTTCCGTCGTTCGTCGTCTACGATGTCAAGACTGGGGAAATGTTGCATTTACTTGAGCTTAGCCCAGAGCTTGGGGGCGGCGCACTGGGTGGCGCAGTGAGCGAGGTGGAAAACTACACCATAATGTCAGCTTTCGTCGGCCCTGTAGTGAGGTTCTTTGACCGTCTGCCATTTGCCCATCATATACATATGACGGACAGATGTAGAACTTGGTGACAACTTACACTCCTCAACGCAGTCCTCCTTGGCACCCTCCTCGCTGTCGGCAGCCGCCGTGACGCGCTCGACGCACTCGTCGTAGTGGTGCTTGGCCGGTGCGCAAGCCTTGGACTCCTCGCAGTCTGTCACCCAAAATCGTCAGCAACTCGTTCTGTAGAATTTCGGAATTTCGGATAATCGCGTTTAGCGGGTCGATAACGTTGGGAAGCAGGCGTTCGGGTGTCGATGGGGGAGCTCGCGAAATTGCTCATGTGCGTGTCATCGACTATTTCCCGCCCAGCAAACCGAATGTCGCGTATCGCCATCGAATCTTGTGTCGGGGATTCCGGGAGTAGTAAAAAAACAAGAACGAACCTTTCTCGAGCTGCTCCTTGGGGTCGACGGTCTCCTCCTCATCCTCCTCTTCCTCTTCTTCCTCCTCCTCTTCCTCTGCCTCCTCCTCCTCGGCCTCGGGCTCCTCCTTGGACTCCTCCTCAGCGGTCTCCTCCTCCTGAAGAAAGAAACATTAGTCAACGGTTCTTGTTTGTCGAAAAAAAGCTGCAGAGCGAATGCGAAACGATGACAGCGACGAAGGCGAGAACGTGATCATCGCCCAACCTCAGGCCATGCCCTGCAACAAATTGCGCGCAAAAAAAAAATAGCTTCGCTCACCTTCTCCTCGGCGGCAGGGGCCTCGGCCTCGACGGTGGCCCACGGCATGGCGGCCTCAGCGAGGTCCGTGATGGTATCCCAGAAACCCATTGTGGCGGAGGTGCGTGAATTGGCTTGACGTGATGTCGTGGATAGTGGTTGATTGGGGGTGGGAAGTCGGGAGCTTTCGGCAGAGACGTCGAAGGAACGAAAACTGGGTGTTCTGAATCGGTCGTAAGTTATTCCCAATTGGCCCGTTTTGATTGGCTGCGGTGGAAAGGCTGGGTGACTAAGCGTCATCGACCGCGGGAACCGCCAACGTGACCGTGGGCCGGAGCGCCAAGGATCTGCCGTTCCGGTGCTACTACCTCCAGCCCGGTTACCTCTATACCGGTACTTACCACTTACCTGAGTACCTCACCTTACCTAGGTACCTTGCCTCACTTCACACCTTGAGAACGGCCGAAAGCTCCCAAGCCACCATCTCGTCACAATCACATGGAAAAGTGGAAAAGCAAAGGGAAAAAGATCAGGCAAAAGAAAGTTACGGGGGAAGAAAAGTTACTCGCATGGTTGCGTCAAGCTTCCCAGCGTTAAATTCAACCATCATGCTTACTGAGGTGGCTGCCACTCATCACACAAGGTCTTGTCCATCTATACCTTGCGAGATGGTTCGCGCACACTGTGATTGCCCCCATCTCTTGTGCCTGGGGGCATGCATCCCAATCCTCGTGTCCTCGCCCTCGTTCTCCTCATCAAGACGTGCTCGTCATTTCTCTACACTTCAAGTTCGTTAAGAAACGCAGGATCCGCCAGCCGCTAGTGTAGATGCTATAAAAAGTTACAGGTGTAGGGAGTGAAATGCAGGGAGGTATCGATGCAAAAAAGCGTTAGTCATGAGCCCGTGATGAATCAAAACCCCCGCTATGCTCTGTCAGACTCTTCGCGAACATGGTCCTCGAGTCGCATGCTGAGCGTCTGTGCTTGCGCCTCATCATAATCCGGTGGGGGTTCGTCCGGACGCCGGTTTGCATTCTGACCCCCCGGACTTGCCGGCCGACCGGCCGCTTCTTCCTGCTGCTGCTGTTGCGGCGCCAGGCTGCTCGGAGCTGCTCCGCCGCCCTCGGTTGCTTCGTAGGCCGGCAGCGGCTCGTCCGGAATGTTGACCGTCTGTCCCGTTTCCTGCTGCAGACGCCTCACATGCTCAAGTCGTTCCTTGAGCTCCTCGAACCTTTGCCGGAACTCGCTGTGACCGCCCTCCTTGAAGCTCATCTTCACCTCGACCCGTGGTATGTCGGCAGGCACGCCGCCTCCAGAGACGGGCACGACGGTGGCGGACCAGAACCAGGCGCCAAAGAACGGCGAGCCAACGTAGGAATCGGCGCAGTTCAAGATTGGCGCATGGAACGACTTGAACTCGGCGGTGGGTTTCGCAGGAATGTAAATGACCTGGAGCAGGGTGATCAGCTTCGCCCTCCGGCGCCATGTCTTGGGATAAGTCATGTAGTGCATACCCGTTGTGTTGTGATGTATGCCGTGCCATTGTCGCTCTTGCGCGCAAAGGGCGTCCTTCCTTGCTGTAAGGCCTTGGGTACCGACAGCTCGAGGCTTATTTTGGCATTGGATCTGTGTCTGATGTGTTCGTGAGGAAGAGGGTTGATATCACCCGTCTGGGTGATCATGACCCAACTATCACCATGGTCAGAATCTAGGCGGGCCTGGGCAAGCTGTCGTTCTCTCTGGACGGTGCGGGCAATGGTAAGGGCATGCTGCTCTTGCAGATACTGATCCGTCATGGTGGACGGCAAGTGTGGGGGTGGTATGTAGCCGAGAGTGTGAGAGAGAGGAGGTTGATGGTCGAGGTTGGCAGCGGGGTTACCACGGACGCTGACCGGGATGACTCCGTGGTGCTGGGGCTCGGGGCGGCGTGGGATGACGGGAAGATGAAGGGGAAACAGAGGCAGAGCATAAGAGGGAAAGGGAACATGGAGGGACGTACTTTATTGACATTTTGAACGAAACGGCGAGCAGCTGCAGCGCAGAGCTTCCTAGTTCGTCTCAGCGAGTTGAGGGTTGCGTGGGAGTGGGCGTGGTCGGTAGCGGCAGGGCTTGCAGAGAAGCTTCGGAGATCTGGATTGTGGTGGGGTGGATCCTGGTACAGGCACAGGCACAGGGGAGGTACTTTGTGGGAAGGGGAAAAGGGCGTCGCGTTCTGGGCAGCGGCGAGGGCGGCGTCGGCATCGGCGTCGGCTGGTGTTGAGAAATGGTGAGGTGAGGTAGGTAAGGTGAGGAGGTGAGGTGCTGCTGTTGGGTTGCTGGTGCTGTTGCTGGCGGCTGCGGCTGCTGTTTGATACACCTCAGAGTCGAAGCGGCGGCCGGCAGAGAGGATGGCGAAGAGCGAGTGAGTAAGTGCCCAGTGGAAGAGGCGCACCGGAGGGGTGGGAAAGGAAGCAGAGAGGCTGATAGCGTTAGTTAGGTATTAGCTGGGCGGATAAGAAGGGTAAGGCAAGGCACAGGGCAAGGTCAGGTTTGGTAAGGTATACGCAGTATGGGAGAGTGGACAGGGTATTCTCGGAAAGGGTGGAGGAAAATTAAGGTACCCTACCTTGTTGCTACTTGCTACCTTGGAGCCTAGAGCGAGGCAAGGCGCGGCAAGGCCAGGCAAATAGATGTCGTAGTCGTAGTCTGTACTCTGTAGTAGAGGGCAAGGAGAGCAGACGGCTCAAGGGAAGGGAGCGGGCCAGACAAGATGACACAGCTCGACCAAATCAGAGAGAGAGGAGAAGGCCAAGTTGCGGCAACTACTCTGGCTAGTCCGACGACGGTGGCTGGGGAAGTTCGGATGCGTAGGTAGTCGAGGTGGGGGAGGGGTTCTGTGACAAGACAAGCAATGGTGTGATGAGACGGTATGGGATGAGAATAGCTAAGGTATGAGAGGAGGAGGAGGAAGAGGAGGAGGAGAAGGAGGATTCTCTCTCATCAACCTGAGGTGGGATGGGTGTGTAGTGAACGGAGTAAGGTAGGTAGTCAGTCACGTAGGTAGTGTAATGCGGATAAGGTGGTCGATGAGACAAGGTGAGGTGAAGAAAGCCCAAGTACTTCCGTACCTCTCCCGGCTCTCCGTACCCAAAAGGTACTTTAGCCACTAAGGTAGCCGTCGCTATTCGTACGTGCTTCTTCTTGTTCTTCTTCTTCGGCTTGGGGGGAGCGGGGGACCCAATGAGAGACATCGGCGCGCCGCGCAACTGGATGAATGTGTGTCCACATAGGTGAGAGTGCCAATAGGCCCAATACTCAAGTGTGTGTGTGTGTGAGTGTGTGTGAGTGAGAGTGTGCGAGTATCGATTGGATCCAGGCCCCCCCTCCAGGTGTCTCCAAAAAGTCTCCAACTGACCTTAGGCCGTTAAGTTGCGTCCTGCGTCTTTGCGGGTTCCCTGAACTCTTCTCTCTGTGTCCCCAACTCCCTTTCTGCTGCTAGTTCACGCAAGTCGTCCAACGTCTGTCGATTCGCCGTGTCTTGTTTGATCTGCTGCTCACTACTCGCTGCTGTTGGGCTCCATTTGTTTGCTTCTGACATCCACGCAGGAGAGAACTATGGCTACCTTGCCTTGGCGTGCCAGGTACACAGTGCACAGCTTGCTTCTTTCTTTCCTGCTTGCTTGCTTCCGCTCATCACTGCTCCTGCGTGAAGAACGATGGAGTCTCGACTGGAGTATCCGTACTCGTATGAATCGTTCTTCCTGCCCTTGATTCTCCTCCTTCTCCTCCTCTTCCTCCTTCGGTCTAGGTAAAGTACTCATCCACCAGTCGTCGAGAGGTTTGTACATACGCTGCAGGTGTGGATGAGATGCCAGCGACATGGGCCCTCTGGGTCAGAACTGCTGCAGCCCAGAACAGGACTCTGGACGAATGAGCTCAGCGCTTGGCCAGGGTTGGCTGGGTCGGTCCTTTACGACCACACTGCAGGCATGGATAATTGGGGGGGAACTCTGTGCGCCGCGCAGTAGCAGGCGCATTGGATCACGCAGACTCGCAGTAGCAGCAGGCCTGGGACCCGTCTGCTCAATGCAAATTTGTGAGATTGCGGAGCTTGAAGCGACGTCGTCCTGCAGTTGGCCCAATCGACTGACCCTGGGGTCTGTACTTGATCTGATCCGTCCGAGGTTTACCTGCCAGCCGGCGCAAAAGTGGGAATGGTGTCCAAGTTGCCCCCTACCTCTGCCTAGGGAGCCATGTTGTGGTAAGTCTTGACTAAGGACCGACCGACGGGCGACACCCAAGGACAAGGTCGACGGTCGACCGAGATACCAAGCGGCTGCGGCTTCTGGCATCTGCTGCTGGCATTCCCGTCTGCCCTGCGTTGCGCCGCCGGGCTGCTACCGGTAGTACCTAGTGTAGGCGCGAATAGAGTAACAAGTAGCAGTCATTGACCTTGGAGATCTCTCTCCAAGAGGGACGGATGACCAGGTCTGGGACCAGATTGCCAGGAAGAGTGCAGGCCAGGGATCTCGGGATGGACGCGCCGATCCTTTTGCACCCAACTCGAGCCAGGAACCCTCGTCTTGAAACAAAGTCTCCATGAAGCTCTCCCGTCTAGATTGGCTCGGTGAGCGACTTTCACCTTGTGAAGGCAACGACAATCCCTCGAGCCATGATGCCAAGGTCACCGTCTCCAGCTCGACTGCTCGGGTTTCCCAGAAAGGCAGTGAACCATGATTATGAATGCAAGCAGGGCACGCCCGTGTCTTGGTGCCTGAAGATGACTCCGACGAGTCCGAGAACGACCTCATTCGTACCTAATCGCCCTGTCTGCCTATACGACTTTGGTTGTGGTCGTGGTTGTGGCATGCCTAGCTCTAGACTGTCGGTATCAGTCATGAGGGACATTGTGAACCCTGAATTCTTCCACCGCGGACACCCCAAGGCCCAAGCCGACGCAACGCGCGGCGCGGCATATGTCTCACGCAAAGACTAGACGAACAGATGTCAGTTGTTTTGCATGTTTTAGAAAAAGAAAAGAAGGTGTCTCCCCCCGAGTCAAGCGGAATGACTCGAAATGGCTGCTAGCTATCAGCTCGTGCCGCAGACATACGCAGTTGAAGCAGAGAAACGGGGATGATTAGAATGAGGAGCTTGAATTGAGACCTTGGGACTCGGGAGGGAGACTTTGTGGAAACCATCCAGTGTTGTCCCGTTCCCGTTCCCCGTCAAGACCAGTACCATCCATGATCTTCAGCGGCCCGGGACTTGCCATGCCATCGGGGCCGTCGAGCATGCGGTCGTTGGGCTTTGTCCACCTACGTCCCACAGCGCAGCCAACCTAATGCCAGAGGGAGACCCAGCCAGGAACAACTTTGCAAAAGCAGCGCCAGTGGCGGGCTTACATTCATCGTCAAAGACGGAGTACTCTGGTAGCGAGTGCAGCGTGGTCGGCCACATGCCTGGGCGGTACCCAGAAGATACTCAGTACCCCTGATCATTGTCCTGCTTGGAACCCGGTAATAAACGGAGATCTCTGGCGGGGTTTCTGGAGGAGGAGGAGAAAAAGACCAGGGGTCAGGCGGCGTGGTGGCCGTGGAAAACTCATGTGCTTGACAAACAGAAGCCGGACGGATAGCGAGGTGGACAGACCCCAGGCGCGTTGGTGATAGATGGCCAGTGACGAGCGCTCCGTGTCATGTCGTTGGAGTCGTCGCCATCTCGGTATCTCCCTCTTGGGCCGGCGATTGGCCCCGGTGAGTGAGGGGTATAGCTACTATAGCCCAGATTTGGGGCCAATGTTGCATTGCCAATGATTCGAGAGGTTGTTGAAGGCGACGCAAAGTATACGGGGCATACGGACAGAGGCCAGCGTTTAGCACACAGGCATTGTTGTTTGGTGGAAAAGTAGACGGGTCGAACAGAGTGACAGCCACTGCAGGATCGCATCACACTTTCTTGATGCTCGCCTGTTTGCCTCTGGATATCTTGAGAAACTATGATAGAGTAGGTAGGTTTTGCGAGAGGTAAGGTGGATGGATGGGTGGTATGGTGATGTGTGGAAGACACGAATGACAAGAATGCAATCGGAAGCACCCCCCCCCCCCGGGCCCGTAATCTTCTCCTGCCAAACATACCACGTCAATACTTCAATACTTGATGCTCCTTCTCTTTATAAGGTACACTCCATGCTTTCCCTCGTTACCTAAGGTAAGGTACGATGCCTCGGAACCTTCCAGGTAACGTTTGTCGCCACGTGAAGTTGTGATAAGGTAGGTACAGGAAGCATCGTCGTTCTTGCTCTCTCGGTGTGAGATGAGATACCTAAGGTACTTAAAGAGCGACGTTGACCATTGGTCGGGAGTGCGAGGCGCTGCTTCCCAATTGGAGCTTGAGATTCCGTCGTCTTGTCGCACTCGCTGGCTCCTCCCGAGTCTAGATCCCTTCCTACCTTACCTTACAAGTTACCATTGACTATTGCCCCGAACCTCACCTTGCTTACACCGGACTTACCTCAATTACTAACAAGATACTCGAATACTTCTCCGCACGCATGATCTTCCTACCCACCTGAGGTATCTGCTTGACCTTACTCGTGGCTGGGCAACACGGCGACATGGCGACACCAGACAGGCACCGTATTCCTCCCGACGCAACGAACATCCTTCTCTCCTTTCGGCCGCAGAGAAGCACGTCGCCCACGTCTGCATCCACCATAATTCAAGAGTCTGACCGCTTGTCCGCATCGTCTGCCCTCTTTCAGGAACATGCGAACTCCGAGGGGGCCAGGGCCGCATCTCGGACACTTGGAACCGACCCATCTCGAAGCCTACCTTAACAAACTTCCCTGTCCGCCAATGTCCCCAAGCTCCGGACGACAAAAGTCGCGCGGCACAGCCAAAGAGCTGCATGAGAAGCGAGCCCACGCCGCACACACAATCCCATTGTCAACAGCACTTTGACGAATAATCACGCTACGACTACATACATACGTATCCGTACCTACGCGCTCTATCGTCTTTCCCCGCCGGCCCATGTCTCATCATGTGACTGATCGACCACTTCGCCTACAGTGTACATATTGCCGATCGACAGGATGGTCTCTGTCTTATAACTGCTCCTCCTGTCTCACCACCAGCGATAGATACGACCGCTGTCTGCGCACACAAGACTGGTTCGACGTGTGAGCGAGAGGCGGAGATATAGCCGGCCAATGGCAACAGTCAGCCAATGAATCCAACGGTTCTAGGTCCCTTCATTCTCCGGCAGGCATTACTTGCGACTGCTGCACCTCAACTCCACCAGTCTCACTATCGGATTCCTGCCCACACCCATATAGGCTCTTAATCCGCCCGTGTTCCCTGGACCCGGTAGATGGGCTGTTCAACCAGGCCGGTATCGCGCCTTTCGCAATAATCTGGGCCCGCGGTCTGTTTCCGCCTTCTCGTTCTTGTGAGCAACAAGTTACAACGCTGCTGCATCAACAGACATCTCTGCAGAAAATGCAATCTTGGAAACATCTAGAAGGCCACACAGCGTCTGACTCTGCGCAACTGCCAAGGTGGCACCGCAGCCGTTCCAGCCTACACAGTAGTGTACACTACATACCGAGAGTGCCTTACCGCACCGGGTACGGATGCTGCGCGCAGATGCTCCATGAGGTCCCCCACCAAGCACAAGCCTCCAACGTGCATTCCTGCAAAGCCCACCCTCCTCCATCTGGGACGGCATGTGATTGGAGGGGCTGTCCCACGGCGGCTCCCGAGCATCCAACTTCACCCGGCCCCTAGCTGCGTCGAATGTTTGACCTCTAGGAACCAAAATAATGCGAGCTACTGTCTGATACATTCGTACAATATCTTTGGCTTCAACATCATCACTTACAACCGAGGTTCCGTAATTGCTACAAAAACATCGCCTCCTAACTTGTCTCTGTACAAGGAACCAAAATCTCACAACTCATTCCACTGTCGATTAGTCGCTTAACGCTACCATGACCAGCACGCACGACGAACGAATTGCAGCTCTTCAAACTTTCACCGCTTGTGACATTTCAGATGCACTCGTGAAGCTCAAAGTACCCGGGGCTGGCTTCCTGCCTGATCTGCAACTGCTGGGCCAACCGAACCCCGCAGATGCTCCCATCACCATAGCACCAGCATCCACGATACTCTTCGCTCGGAAGGGCGAAACGTTGGACTCGCCCGCGGCAAATATTCCCAAAAACACGCACTGGGCTGATATCACCCAGCCTGGTACCATCGTGATCATCAGACAGCCCGACGGGCAGAAGAATGCCGTCTGCGGAGGAATCATGGCTGTGAGGATGAAGGTTAGGCAAGCGAAGGCGGTCGTAGTAGTAGGTCGCGCCAGGGATCTGGACGAACTAACCAGCACGGGTCTACCGGTGAGTCGAATAAACCACCCGGGTCCTTTAAAATCTTCTCCAAGTCCCCTAATCATCTCACCGGTCGCTGAACCTTCTTAGGTCTGGTCAAGGGGACTTTCCACGGTTGGCGCAGGGGCAGAGAGTACCCCTTGGGCAGTCGAAGTACCTATCAATGTCGATGGCACGGTTGTCAACCCTGGCGATCTCGTTTTCGCTGATCCGGTGAATGGGGTTGTCGTCATCCCCAGGGATCAAGTCGACAAGGTCCTAGAGCTCCTCCCCAAGCTCACAGCTGCCGACGACAAGGTCAAGGCGGATGTGCTGAATGGTACATCCGTTTTTGATGCCTTTAAGGCGCACCGGAGCAATCTCTAAATACAGTTGGAAGGTTATGACCATACCTTGCCGGGAACTTTCGGGCTCGACTGGACGATGAGATTCTGCGGGTTGCAAACCATCTGCTGCGTCGGCAGAGGTGCCTCGCTCACATGAAGACACCCAGTCCTACATCGTGACTTTACGGCAAACGCTTGGGTCCTCTCACTGTGGGGTGGTACTCATTCGTGGGACAAAGTCGTTATCCAAGGACGTGGATTAGGGGGAATGGAGGCGTCCATTGGGGTGGGAGCTACCTATGCAATGCATAACCCATCTTCTCGTCACAAATCCCTTGCGACTCCAACGCACTGATACTGACGACCGCAAGGGTCCTTCAAGCGAGCCACCACCACCATTACTGTCAGAACTAATCCGTAACTTCTTCCTATAGGACTCGACCCTTGGCGCCCCTTTACGAATCATGAACCGACACCGCACTCTGCTCTACCGACCAGCGGCCCGCGGGGAAGGAAAAAGGGCTGGCTGTCGGGCAATTTGTGCAAATGTGTTGACCCCCGTCATCTCCGAGTCTTCCAACTCGTCTGCCATTTTGAGACCCGACGACTTTGTCTGACATCCGTGCCCTCGGCTCAGGCTGACCGCCCCCGGCCTCTATCGTTTCCCCCTCCTCTTCTCTCTTGCCTCACTCACTTTTGACTTTGCCCTGCGCACGGAAGACGGAGTGCGTATAGAACATTCACGGATAATTCGGTATCTCTTCTAATGAAGGGTTCAAGCTCGGTTAGGCTTCTGTCAGAATTCAAGTTTAACAGGTCATCTTTTCCCCCTTCCACAGAACGGGATTGGAATCTTCATCAACGGAGGGGAGGCCCAGGTCTTATCATACTACGACTCGCAAATAATACAAGTTGCAGATGCTTGCTCCTAAGAGGGCTGCTAAACTGTTGAAACCTCACAAGACCCTGGGGAAAGGGCATCGCCTAGGGTAGTCTGTCTATCTGATGAGAGGGGGGTGTCAATCACCTACCTTGCCTTACCTTACGTTCTACTTGCCGGATGCCCAGAGCACATAGAACCCGATTCTGAAAAAAGATACACAGATATGTACCGAAAATCGCTATGTTGGAGTTAAGCGCGTGCTTGGGGGGACCGCGTAGTTGAGAAGCTGTACCGCGCCGAGTGATTTCCCTGGGAAAGCCTGATCCCGTTCGAGGTCGATCTTTTTGCGCCTGTGAAGCCGGGAGAAACAAGAACCACCACATAAGGCAGAAGTAAAAAGGCTCCAGCCTGCCCTCCACAAACAGCGCAAACTTGCCCTACAAATCCCGCATCACATCGTTTCTTTAGGATTCGAAATCGCTATAGTAAAATAGAGCATGTAAGGCCATATCGCTGCGTACCGTATGAGTCAAAACACATACCGGCACCGTATGATTTCCCTCACAATCCAGATCTTGTCAAGGCCCGGAGGGAAAGTCACCGCGTAGAAGGCAAAAGGCCATATTCAGAAACATTTGATTCGACGCGATCCCTTTGAATTCCCTTCTTTTCCCCATTCCCTCATTAATGAAAAAAAAAAAAAAAACGAACGGACAGGCTACAGCACAAGAAAATAATGGCTTTTTCTATGTATGATGATCATCAATTCATAAACGTTGCCCTTCATAAGAAGCATTAGGCAGCATGATGTGTCTCCCCCTCTCACTCTCCCCCTCTCTCCCCTAGTCTCTCTCATTCTCACTCTGTTTGTGCGTATGTGCATGTATACCCAGGACAACTTCTCTCACCCTCTCTCTCCCTCTCCTCTCTCTGCTCTCCCCCTCGTGATCCCATCCCCATGCAAGGAAGGAAAACCACACATGAAAAGGAGAAAAAAAAACAAAAACACAACTCCTCCTCTCCCAGAGATCCAAACCCCGAAAAGGAAAAATGATAAACAAAAAAAGCCCACAAGGAAATGAGACAGCGCCCCCAAGAGCTTCCGCGAACCTCTCCTCGTCTTCTTCTTCCGCCTTCTTTTCATCGTCTTCTTCCTGCTTCAGCCCTCGCCTGCGTTGACAATCTCCAACGTGTGATGTGTGTATGCGGGATACTGACACTGAGGGAAGACCCAAACGAGCTCGACGCGTTCCATGTCGAAAGATCGTGCCGCTGGAACCTTTCCCCATGCTGTTGTTTCGACCCGTTCCCGTCGCAAATGTACAATAGTCTCCATCTTTCCACAAGCTCATGGATACTCATGATGCTCACGATGCTCACGCCCCTCATGAAAGCCAAACGTCCCTCTCCTTAACAGGCGTAACCCGATGATTATCAAGCCCAAAATCCAATTTCGGAATCTCAATCTTGGGCGCCGCGTCAACGGGCTTCTGCGCCTTCTGCGTCTTCTTCGGGCTCGCGCTCCGCG